AACATATGATGTCCACCAAACGCAAAAGGAATGAAAACATTTAGCAGAGCGAGGTTTTGATCCTCGGACCTCTGGGTTATGGGCCAGCACGCTTCACTGCGCCACTCGCTCTACGAGAAAGAGAGGACTAAATTATTTCATATCGATCGATAAAACTGTAGACTTGCCTTTCGTGATTTATATTAACCTTGTATGCCTCTTCGAGATCTGTTGGCCAGATTATCTGTCTTGAAAAATGAATTTTACTTTTCTAGAGAGAGTCCGATCCAAATAATCACGTCTTCCAAACCTTTCATACATACGAACGGTTTCGTACGTGGTATAATTTAGAAACAACGATTAAAGGCCACTCGGAGATGGACTAATACATAAAGACGACGGTTATACAAAAAGATTAATTTAAATTAAAAATCTAAAACATATGATGTCCACCAAACGCAAAAGGAATGAAAACATTTAGCAGAGCGAGGTTTTGATCCTCGGACCTCTGGGTTATGGGCCCAGCACGCTTCCACTGCGCCACTCTGCTACTGATGAGTATAGGCTTAATGTATTATTCTAAAACATATGATGTCCACCAAACGTAAAAGGAATGAAAACATCTAGCAGAGCGAGGTTTTGATCCTCGGACCTCTGGGTTATGGGCCCAGCACGCTTCCACTGCGCCACTCTGCTACTGATGAGTATAGGTTTAATGTATTATTCTAAAACATATGATGTCCACCATGCAAACGCAAAAGGAATGAAAACATTTAGCAGAGCGAGGTTTTGATCCTCGGACCTCTGGGTTATGGGCCCAGCACGCTTCCACTGCGCCACTCTGCTACTGATGAGTATAGGCTTAATGTATTATTCTAAAACATATGATGTCCACCAAACGCAAAAGGAATGAAACATTTAGCAGAGCGAGGTTTTGATCCTCGGACCTCTGGGTTATGGGCCCAGCACGCTTCCACTGCGCCACTCTGCTACTGATGAGTATAGGCTTAATGTATTATTCTAAAACATATGATGTCCACCAAACGCAAAAGGAATGAAAACATCTAGCAGAGCGAGGTTTTGATCCTCGTATCTCTGGGTTATGTGCCCAGCACGCTTCCACTGCGCCACTCTGCTTCTGATGAGTTAGGCTTAATGTATTATTCTAAAAACATATGATGTCCACCAACGCAAAAGTAGTCGAAAACATTAGCAGAGCGAGGTTTTGATCCTCGGACCTCTGGGTTTATGGGCCCAGCACGCTTCCACTGCGCCACTCTGCTTCTGATGAGTATAGGCTTTAATGTATTATTCGAAAACATATGATGTCGCAACTCACAAACCGCAAAAGGAATGAAAACATTAAGCAGAAGACAAGGGTTTTGAAGTGATCTTCAGGACCATCACTGGGTTATGGGCCCAGCACGCTTCCACTGCGCCACTCTCTGCTACTGATGATTAGTGGCTTAATGTATTATTCTAAAAACGTATGAATGTCCACCAACACAGCAAAAGGAATTAAAAACATTATTAAGCACAAAGCGAAAGGTTTATGAATCCTCAGAACTCTGGAGTTATGGGCCCAGCACGCTTCCACTGCGCCACTCTGCTACTGATGAGTATAGGCTATAAATGTATTATTCTAAAACATATGATGTCTGCCACCAAGTACAGCGAGAAGGAATGAAAAGCATTTAGCAGAGCGAGGTTTTGATCCTTGCGGACCTCTTGGGTTATGGGCCTTCAGCACAGCGTTCCACTAGTGCTGTCCAAACTAACCAGCTAACACATGCTACTGAATGAGTATACGTGCTTAATGTATTATTCTAAAAACATATGATGTCCACCAAACGCAAAAGAATGAAAACATTTAGCAGTAGGGCGAGGTTTTGCAATCCTCGGACGCTCTGGGTTATGGGCCCAGCGACGCTTCCAGCTGGGGCGCCACTCTGTCTTCTGAAGGAGTATAAGGTTTTAAATGTATTATTTCTACAAGACATATAGATGTCCACCCAAACGCAAAAGGGAAATGAAAACATATTAGCATAAGCGAGGTTTTGCATTAACCTCGGACGGCGTCTGTGTTATGGCCACGACTCTGATCTACGACAGGAGAGAGGACTAATTATTTGTTTCTTATCGATCGATAAAACTGTAGAACTTTGTCCTTTCGTGAATTTATATATAACCATTGATATGCCTCTTCGAGAATCTGTTGGCCAGATTATCTGTCCTTGAAAAATGAATTTTACTTTTCTAGAAGAAAGGTCCAGATCCAAATTTAATTGCACAGTCACTTCGCAAACCTTTTCATACATTACGAACTGTTTCGTAGCGTGGTATAAATTTATTTGGAAACAACTGATTAAAGGCCACTTTCGGAGTATGGACTAATACATAAAGACGACGGTTTAATATACAAAAAGATTAATTTTAAATTAAAATATCTAAACCCTACTGATGTCCGACCAAAAACGCAAAAGGAATGAAACATGTTAAGGGCACGAGCGAGGTTTTGATACCTCGGACCATCGTAGGTTATGAGGCTCGCAGCACGCTTCCACTGCGCCACTCTGCTCACTGATGAGTATAGGCTATAATGGTATTATTCTAAAACATGAATGATGTGCGCACCCAGTCACACCGTAAACAAGTGGGAATCGAAAACATCTAGCAGAGCGAAAGGTTTTGTATCCTCAGGACCTCTGGGTATATGGGCACCAGCAACGCTTGAACAATGCGCCACTCTAGCCTAACTGATGAGTATGGGTTTAATGTAATTATTCTAAAACATATGATGTCGCACATCATGCAAACGCAAAAGGAATGAAAAACATTTTAGGGCACAAAGAGGTCGTGAGGTTTTTAGGATCCTCGGGTTGAGACCTGCATGAGGTTTATGGGCTGCATAGTCCAACGCGTTCCGACTGCGTGCCACCTACTGGGCTATCTGATGTGGATAGCAATTAGTCTTAATGTATTGACCAAAATTCTAAAACATATGATTGTCCCACAAACAAATCGCGTAAAAGGGAGATGAAAAAAAACATTTCAACAGCTAGACGCGAGGTTTTGCTTAAATCGCTAAAAAAAACAGGACCTCTAGAGATTAAAATAAACGGCCCGGGAAACCAACAAAACAGCATGGCTGTTCTCTACACTGCGCCACTCTGCTACTGAATGAGTAGTAGTGCTTAATGGTAATTAGTTCTAAAACATTATGGATGTCCACCAAACAAGCAATGGCAAAAGGAATGAACAAAAGACTATTTAGCTAGAGCGGAGAGTTTTTGATCCTCGGACGCTCTGGGTTATGGGCGCCAGCACGCTTCCACTGGCGGCCACTCTGCTTACTTATGAGTATAGGCTTAATGTATTATTCTAAAACATAGAGATGTCCACCAAACGCAAAAGGAATGAAAACCATTTAGCAGAGCGAGGTTTTTGATCCTCGGACCTCTGGGTTATGGTCTCAGCACGCTTACACTGTGCGCCACTCTGTGCTACTGATGAGTATGGGCTTAATGTATTATTCTAAAACGTATGATGTCCGCACACAACGCGAAAGGATCTAAGAACATTGTAGCACATGCGAAGGTTTTTGATGCCTCGGACCTCTGGGTTAGTGGTCCGGCAGCACGCTTTCACTGCGCCCACTGCGGCTACTGATGTGAGTATAGGGCTTAATCACATGTATTATTCTAAAACATATGATGTCCGACACAAACGCGAAAGGAATGTAAAAACATTTTAGCAAGCAGCGAGGTTTTGAGCCTCGGACCTCTGGGTTAATGGGCCCAGCACGCTTCCACTGCGCCACTCTGCTTCTGATGAGTACTAGGCTTAATGTATTATTCTAAAACATACTGATGACGTCCACCAAACGCAAAATGGATGAAAACATTTAGCAGAGCGAGGTTTTGATCCTCGGACCTCTGGTTATGGCCACACGACTCTGATCTACGACAGAGAGAGGATAAATTATTTCTTATCGATCGATAAAACTGTAGACTTTGCCTTTCGTTATTTATATTAACTTGTATGCCTCTTCGAGATCTGTTGCCAGATTATCTGTCTTGAAAATGAATTTTTACTTTTCTAGAGAGGTCAGATCCAAATTAATTCACGTCTTCCAAACCTTTTATACATACGAACTGTTTGTACGTGGTATAATTAGAAACAACGATTAAAGGCCCTCGGAGATGGACTAATACATAAAGACGACGGTTTATACAAAAAGATTAATTTAAATTAAAAATTCTAAAAACATATGATGCACCAAACGCAAAAGGAATGAAAACATTAGCAGAGCGAGGTTTTGATCCTCGGACCTCTGGGTTATGGGCCCAGGCACGCTTCCACTGCGCCACTCTGCTACTGATGAGTATAGGCTTAATGTATTATTCTAAAACATATGATGTCCACCCAAACGCAAAAGGAATGAAAACATTTAGCAGAGCGAGGTTTGATCCTCGGACCTCTGGGTTATGGGCCCAGCACGCTTCCACTGCGCCACTCTGCTACTGATGAGTATAGGCTTAATGTATTATTCTAAAAACATATGATGTCACCACAACGCAAAAGAATGAAAACATTTAGCAGAGCGAGGTTTTGATCCTCGGACCTCTGGGTTATGGGCCCAGCACGCTTCCACTGCGCCACTCTGCTTCTGATGAGTATAGGCTTAATGTATTATTCTAAAACATATGATGTCCACCAAACGCAAAAGGAATGGAAACATTTAGCAGAGCGAGGTTTTGATCCTCGGACCTCTGGGTTATGGGCCCAGCACGCTTCCACTGCGCCACTCTGCTACTGATGAGTATAGGCTTAATGTATTATTCTAAAACATATGATGTCCACCAAACGCAAAAGGATGAAACATTTAGCAGAGCGAGTTTTGTCCTCGGACCTCTGGTTATGGGCCAGCACGCTTCCACTGCGCCACTCTTGCTTCTGATGAGTATAGGCTACTGTATTATTCTAAAACATTGATGTCCACCAAACGCAAAGGAATGAGAAACATTTAGTGAGTCGAGTTTTGATCTACGGAACTCTGGTTATGGGTCCCACGCACGCTCCACTGCGCCACTCTCTACTGATGAGTATAGGCTTAATGTATTATTCTAAAACATATGATGTCCACCAACGCAAGGAATGAAAACATTTAGCAGAGCGAGGTTTGATCTCGGACCTCTGGGTTATGGGCCCAGCACGCTTCCACTGCGCCACTCTGCTACTGATGAGTATAGGCTTAATGTATTATTCTAAAACATATGATGTCCACCAAACGCAAAAGGAATGAAAACATTTAGCAGAGCGAGGTTTTGATCCTCGGACCTCTGGGTTATGGGCCCAGCACGCTTCCACTGCGCCACTCTGCTTCTGATGAGTATAGGCTTAATGTATTATTCTAAAACATATGATGTCCACCAAAACGCAAAAGGAATGAAAACATTTAGCAGAGCGAGGTTTGATCCTCGGACCTCGGGTTATGGGCCC